CTCACACTCTGCAGTGATACTGGCTTTGGCTGGCGTTGCTTCATCATGAAAAAATATTCTCGGCAGAAACTGACAGATTTATTGGAGAGAAGGTTGGTTCTTTCTGTAAAGCAAGGTTTTAAAAAGTGTGTTTGTGTGGGTGAGAGAAGTGTTTTGGTGTGTGTTGTGCATATGCTAGGGAAGTAGAGAGACAATGTGTGTCTGTTGGACTCAACAGCAGTGCAAGAACAGCAGTGCATATATGAGACAAAGCAGCATAAAAGCTAGAACCAGGATTTTTTCTCTTCCATTTTTTTTGCTTAAAAGAATCACTGTAATGACTAATAGTTGAGGCGTTAGAGTACAGTCAATAATTTATTTTATAGTGAGCAATAAATGAAGATGTTGGATACATGTATCATCATTTTGTGTCATCACTGAGATGTGTAGTCCCACAACACTGTAATTTTTGCACGACTAAAATGTGACACATTGCATTGTGGGATTGTTAACAGAAAGTCACTCTACTAGTTTAAGTGTAAATTACAGAGCACAAGTTTCAGGCTCAAAGAGCAGACACTCTAGCTGAGAGACACTATACTGTACACTGTCCATCATACAGTAAACAGAGGGGTTTTGGACGCTGCCTTTGTCTTTAATTTTGGGATTTGCCCATGGGACACTTCTGTCTCTCCCACCCTCTCATACCACAGTAGGAGTTGGTTAAGGAATGTATCCGCCTACAACAAAATAGACTGACAATCACTTCCCCTGACTCTGCATGTGCTGTGGTCGACTTTGCTCTGTCCTGGGCTTATTACACTTAATGTAGCATTAGCATGCTTGCCAGACAGTATGATCTGCCAAAGATGTGGATGATTTTGGAGATAATCCTCTCATCATGTATTGGAGAAGAAGTGATAATTACAGCCATATCTCAAAGATGACAGTAAATAGAAAGTGTGCTGACAGTTGCAGCCATAATAAGGAATAAAAAGTGCCTTATCACTGTAAGGTAACACTGAGAAAAACAACAAGAGGCAGATCCAAAACCGCTTCTTCTCGTTGTCATTGAGCACAGAGCACCTGCTGCCAGCTTGGCTATGCTCAGTGTTTGCCAGCACTGGCATAAGGCAAGCACACCCTCATGCATGCTCATACACAGCCATGATTTCTGGTTTGGGGGTGTTGGAATCTGGCAGGCAGCTCATATTGTCTGAATGTCACATCTTTATGCATGAATGTGCTGTATTTACACACAAAGATATGGCTACACTCACGTCTGTATTTGCAGATAAAAAAAACACACAGTTGTATATACAGTACATACACGCTCACACACTGGCACAGCAGCTATCCTCTACCTGCATCCACAAACATCCTGATATTAAAATCAAACACTCAAGTCCTGGATTGTCCTATGTTAAGGAATCAAGAGCAGAGAAGGCTATAATAAATATCTTTGCTCACTTCTCAGCAATCAGCTAGCTTCTTTTATGGCTTCTAGCTTTCTTGGATATAGTTCACAACATGAAACACAAACAAAACAATTGTTTTGTATGTTTTATACATGGATATATTTCTGTTTCACTTTAAATTGCCAGATTTGAAGCCCCAAGCAATGGAGTGCAAAAGTGAGAACAGTGTGTTTGGGACCATGATGTCAGGGGTAATAAAGCTGAAGAAAAGTGCAGAGCCTGTTTCACATTCATGTGCTTAAACAGTCACTGCTCTGGAGGTCTTTTGCATCTCCATATTTTAAAAATATCTTTGTTTTTCTCAGCATATCTGGGGATTTTCAGATACATTTGAATGCCTCCTGTATTCTAGTGTTTTTTAAATATTCTGTATGTGTGATTCGCCTGTTAAATACATCAGTTATTTTGCTGTGTTTTCTTGTCCATATTCTTTCAGTAGAGCAGATTATATTCTTACACATTATTGTAAAAGACTGCATAATGATTAAGATTTTATTGAGATGTAAATTCTTAGCACTGTGCTTTGTCTGTGTGTGTTTATTGGCAGTATGACCCAGAGAATTCAGGCTTTTTTTTTGCGGTTCAGGGACCTGCTGGCGACCCATGGCTCTGAGCTTGACCCACACAAACTTGAAGTCCTGTTAGCCCTCACTGACGGCAACGCTGATGGAAAAATCTGCTACCAGGACTTTGTTAACCTGGTGAGATGTTTTCACTTCTTACATTCTTGCTGATATCAGTATTCAGAAGACATCAATAGTGTACTGGGACCTCTTCCACTGTCTTTACATCCATGTTTAGATTTTTCAATATGTTGTAAAACCCAGAATCTTGGACTTCACCAGAGGTCAGTTATGAATCTGATGACTTTACACCTGACAAAAAGGGAAAAAAAACAACAATTTAGCATTGACATTGATGACTGATGGACTTCTTACCTTTTAACTTGATATCCTCCACATGTACACATTTCCTCACAATGAACAATGGAAACATTGAATGAATCCACGAGTGGCTGATCGTGTTTTGTGAGCAGAAGGAAATCTACTTTCAAATCTGACTGTAAAGACTGCTTTAGTCAACAAAACATGTACAGCAACATGCCAAATATTCAGATCAGAAATAAAAATGTAATGTAACTATGTCACAAGGAAAAGACACTGGAATATCATGCTTAGGTCATGGCTGGCTACTTCTATTTTAATAAAGAAGGAAAGCAGGAGCATTTTAAATTAAAAGGAAAACCATTTAAAAATGTTCATTTACTACTTAAAAAAAGGCATTTTTCATATTTTTTCTTCATTTTTTTTATATTGTGACAAATATATCATGGCAATATTTTACTGTGAGCTTCTGGTATCATCATATCTGTTTAAGTCACCGTACTAAATGTGCTGAAGGTCCCATGATGACTTGAAGTGTTTCCAAAAATGTGGATAAACAGCGACTGCTGGGAGGCTGAGGGGCTGGGTCAGGGTTATGTGCATAAGCAGAGACTGTAGGGAATTTATTGTTACCTGTGAGTGTGAGTTTGTTCATCTCTCCCATTCTCTCTTGTTCTTCAGAGCTTTTTTTTTTTTGCCTGTACAGTGGGTGAGGAATGAGGCCTGTGGGAAGCTTGGAAAGCTTCCAATTGGTGCATTCATGTCACATAACAGGCCATGGGTCATGGTGTGGTACTGGAAGAGGGAGAGAAAGGAATGGGGTGCGTGTGTGTTCACATTTTTTTATTAGTTGCTATTGTGTGCACCCCCCACAATGGTTTATACATACAGTGAGGCAGCTACAACGGAAAGCATTTTAGGGAGGCAGGGAGGGTATGAAGAAGGAGAGGAGTGACAGGCATTCATGTTTATGGTAATATGCTGTGCAATGAGTGAAAAAATAATCTGCGTAGATTAGATTAATCAATTAATATCAAGTAAAAATACCAACATTTACAGGTTACAGTGTCTGAAATGTGAATATTTGCTGCTTTTCACTCTTTTATATAAATACTTTGGATTTTAAACTGTAAGAAAATGGAAAAATACTTGTGAATATGATGTGAATACCTAGAGGGATGTAGATGTGTAAACACAACATAATGGGCTTTCTAAAGGCAGGCATTAATGATAAAGATTTCAACTCCAAAACCCGTCAGGGAACTTGACAGATTTAAAATTCTTCCAACAAGTTAATTAGCAGTGCCTGGTCTAGGTCAGTATACTTTTTTTTTTGCAGCCATTCTGTGTCCAGAGAAGAGAAAAGGCAGACGAAAGGACAAAACAGACAAACCATGAGAAGTTTATTTGTGGCAGTAACTTTCCTTTGCGCTGTAACTCTTCAGTTATTGTGATTGTCAGTAATTGCTTGTTCACTGCTCCATCACAGTCAGCATTCAAATCACCGCTCACTCTCCTCACCTCTTCTTCTCTTCATCTTCTTAGCGTTACCTCTGTTTCTCTTCCTTTTCCCCACTGCTTCTTGCTGATCTATGCTTTTCACTTTCTTCTTTCTGTCCAGTTTTCCACTTCAGTCTAATTCTGTTTCCTATATTGCAAACATTGCAACTGTCCCGCGTAGAAAATGGCCCAGTAATAGGTTTATACTTATACAGATAGTTCAGTGGTCTGTTTTTACCCAGTGGGATGTCACTGTGGAATGCTCATGATGAGTTTGTGCCGGTGCTTACAACTACACTCATATCTCCAGTTTTAGGTTGTTTATGCTTTTAGTCCCTATTTTGGTCACTCATGTCTAGCCTTCTTTATCTTCCTCTACTTCCTTCTTCCACCTGTCTTCTTCTCTTTCTGATTGTTTCTATCTCTGTCTCTCTCTTGTCTCCCTCTGTCTTTTTTCCACTGAGCAAACAGTGAAATTGTCACTTGCTGGCAGGACATACATTTGTCCCCTTCCCCTTGTCTATTCCCCTTTCCCTTCTCCTCTTGCTATTGGTTAAATAGATAGAGCGACATTCTGTCTTTTGTGTCACACAAAGAGGAGAGGAATTGCAGTCACTTCACAAGAAGAATTGACTGTCTTTATGAGGCACGGCTGCTTGGGGGAAATCTTTCTCTCTCTCTCTCTCTCTCTGTGTGTGTGTGTGTGTGTGTGTGTGTGTGTGTGTGTGTGAGGACTCAACATCCTTACAGGGACAAAAGCATGTCCCCAAAATGTAAGTCATTAAAATTTAGAGTTATGACTTAGTTTAAGTGTAGAGAAAGGTTATGATTAGTTAAAGTCCCCATGGGCAATGAAAATAAATGTGTGTGTGTGTGTGTGTGTGTGTGTGTGTGTGTGTACTTGCTTCAGTATGCAGTCTGGAAGTGGCCATGGTAACCTGTAATTATTTTCCCACAGTTCTCTGTGTCTGAGACAAAGGCTCAAATAAATGGCCTTGTCTCTCCAAGTTGTGAGAGACACAGAAAGTCTCATTAAAAAGTGTAGAAACATCAGCCAGCTGTTCATACAGAGAGTTTACTGATGTTTTGAATTCAGATATTGAGATATACACCTTTGTTTTCCAGCTGTTCAGAGATGTGTTTATCTGTAAACCACAAATCTTATTAATCTGATAAATCTGTGCTTATACTTGAATATAAGCTCAGATTTAATTGATCCTAGCTTCATTACACATCGAACCCTCTTGAAGCAATTTGAAGTTGTAGCTTCCAGGAGTTGCAGTAGTTTTCAGCCTTTTCGATATATTTGTATTGCCAGTAGCCACATGGATCTATGTTGCCAAAATGATGTCATTCAACTTTATTGCCTTAAAGTAACATCCATTAACCAACAAATATGGACCTCCTGCAATCCTAGAGACACAAACACAGCAGTAGAACTGATTTATTGAGAATGACATAATACAGAGCAGAGTAAGAAAGAGAGTGGGGGGAAGGATAAAAAAGAGGGGGACGGGCAGAAACACAGAGAGAGATGTGGGACAGGTGTCCTTGCATCTTCATGGAGAGTGTTATAAAACACACAACAACTGCAATAAAAGGCAAAACACTTGGAGACAGCAGTGATTTAGGCAGAAAGATGAGAATGTTACAGCAGTGATAAAACTGAACCTGTTTCCCGCCTACGTATGCAAACAAATGGTTGAAGTTTCTCAGCTGCTCTTATCTAAGATGAGCTCAGACCTTTAGCATGATCGATTTTAATATGTACAATCCTTGCTGGTATTGCTCAGTTAATTATTACATTTCCGATTGTAAACAGCCCTGCTTTTCAAGCCAGCAGCTGAAACCCCTGCTTATTATTCTGCTGTTTGTACTGTTCATGTGCAAGAATAATTTCCATATGAGACTTAGCAAGAAAAAGCACTTCTCAGATCCTACCAGTGGATGTATCCAGTTTTGTGTGTAAAGGTGTGTGCATAGGAGTCCCTGTATGTTCAGCAGAAAATGTGGGTTGTTTGTTTATAGATGCAATATAATCAATTAACTGTTTAATGGTTTGGTCAGTAAAAAGTCCAGTAAAGGCTGAAGAAAAGGTTTCCAGTCTGTTCCCAGAGCAACAGTCTATAACTCAACAATATTCAGTTTACTGTAATGTTGTAGCTGTTGTGTTGTGTATGAGTTTGTGAAGAGTTTCAGCACAAGATGCCCACTGTGAGAAATGTAGGTTAGTACCTAGGAAAATGATTACACAAAATCAAAACAAATCACAGCAGCTTTGAAATTAGAACAGAAAAATAACTTTGCTGTTTGTCTATGTGTTAGCCCTGCGATGGATTGGCGACCTGTCCAGGGTGTACCCCGCCTTCGCCCGATTGCCGGCCAGGATTGGCTCCGGCCCCCAAATGAATGAATGAATGAAATAACTTTGCTAGGTTTACAATAATTCTACTGACCAATGGGATCTTGTGAACTACTTGTGAGCTCTGCACCTACCAAAACAGGACAAATATAGATTTGGAAATGAACTTTCAGTGATAGAAAAGGAAGAAGAGAAGGGTTTGGTGGTTGCTAGGCGACGATACAGGCATTTTGTTGCCATGGCAAGGTGGGAGGGGTTAGTCACTGAAGAGGACTAGTGTGTGCAAGTGTGTGTGCATGCATGTGTGTACCCATGTGCACCAGTTGTATATCTTGAAAGTTGTAAAGTAAGATAGTGTAGTGATGATGAACAATTAAAACTCAGCCTCACGCTCCTCTTCTTGCTTCTCTGCTCACACCCCTTATTCTTTTTTAAGGCATTACTTCGCCCTCCCTCTACTCCCCCCTTTGTCTTCCACTTTCTCCCCATACCTCCCTTTCACCTCTTTCTTCTCTTCTTTTCTCCAGATGAGTAACAAGCGCTCCAACAGTTTCCGGAGGGCCATTCTTCAGGGGAGCCGGCAGTTAAAAGGCTGCAGTCTCAGAGACGAAGTTGGCTTGGGACTGTCCCAGCAGCTGGTCCGACATATCGCCTACGAGACGCTACCCCGCGAGGTCGACCGCAAGTGGTACTTTGACAGCTACACCTACTGTCCCCCACCATGGCTCATCTTGACTATCACCATTGCTGAGGTAAACCTTTACCTCAGATACGTGTGCTGTGGAGCATACTGTACATACCAACTGCAGAAGGCAGTAATGCACATGTGTAGTGCATGGAAGCTACACAAATCAAACAAGAAGATGAATATATACACAATATAATATCCCTCTGTTTCACAGTGTTCCACTGTTAGTAACACACATAGTAATATACAGTGCAGGTTTGGAAATCTTTAAAAAAAAAACATTGGTTTTGCAAATATTTGGAAATAGAAATGCTTTTGCCACTTTTGCCAGGCATCAGATGAGAAACACTTACTATTATTTGATGCATAATTAAGGCAGAGTGCTTAAATATATTAAAAAATATATATAATCACCTGCTCTTAGAAAATTGATGATGACTTGTTGATTGCAGGATTTTTCTTTCCCAGCTAATGTAATTTGACTGATGTTTAGAAACTAAGCTTAAAGTTTGTCTGATTCAGTTTCATCTCATTACCAGAGCAATTTATTTTTGATTTATGATGCTGAATATAATTTTACCTTCTGAGCACGCTGACTAGGTGTTCATCCCTCCGTGCTCCCCCAGGTGGTTGTGTTCATGTACTATGGGTTCCAGCTGGACCGGTTGGTTCTGCAGGTGTCCAGCCCATCATTCCTAAAGAGCCATTTACCTTATCACCCCCAGCTACGAGCCCAAGCCTGGAGGTACCTCAGCTACATTTTCATGCACACTGGGTGAGTTGACATCCTGCTACTGGATTTCTAGTTATGAGCATTATATCCAGCTGCATTTCTTAGGTGGACAGTTGAGTCTTTCTATGAGCCCATCAGAATCCAAGCTTTGGACGTTGATAATGCCATATTTTACATGACGCGGACTGGTCCACTTACATTAGTTCACATCAGGGGGAGAGTGTGTGTATCACCACTGAGTTGAAATTTAGAGATGTTGCATATCTGTGATGCCATGAATCAGCTTGCTACCTATATCTAATGAACAGAAATATAGCGTGCCTTTATTGTTCAGTGAAACACACCGACCCAATGTGAGATACTTAAAGTCTCATGTTCTATTATTATCAGATTATTAGGGTAATGTGTAAATACTGCAATGCTGCTGTCATATCAGTGCACGGAACATTTATCTTCATAATCATTCTCCACTGCTAAAAGAAACTGCTAAATATTGAAGTGACAGGTAACTTAATAAAACTTCTTTGGCCTACATCTCCTCCTCTCCTCTCAACTCCTCTGTCACTACAAGCACCACAGACTATTATATAATCAGTTTAGGAGCGGTCATCCAGGTTTAATTACCCTTCTGGGTAAATGTAGTCTCAGGCAATCGTGAGAGCTAATAAAATGGTAATTTAATTAGGCAACTGTGGAGGTTCTGGGGAGAGATGGTAGGGATGATGGTGTGCTGGTGAAAAGATAAACTAGAGGAGATGAATGGAGGGATAGAAGGAAGGGGGTGGTTTGTTTAACATGCATCGATTGCACAGGGAAGTGGCTGTAAAAATGGGATTATGGAAATGAATCTGACAGAAATGTACAGTCATACTGTACACAACCACACACAGAGTGGACAAAGCATCGGGTGCCTCGTGAAAGTCGACATAACCTTTCAACAAATGCTAAATTTGGAAAGAACAAAAGTTTTAGCTTCATTTCACCTGAGGAAAACTATCATCCATCTCCCTCTGCTTTGTGTTGTAATACGATATCCATTTGTGCTGCAAGGCATTTCTGTAATTTGTTTACTATTATCTGATGGCTTACAGGGTAAAATGCAGCTCTGGGAAAGCCACTGTTTGTGGCAAGCATCTGTTTTTGTCTACCATCAGATTTGAGGAAATTATTTATTCATCACTGACATGGAAACAACAGCAGTACAATCTTTAAATACAGCATGGTGCTAAAATTCTATCATGCTTTATTAGTCTCAACAATAAGCATTGTGTTTTAACTTGCCTCATCAGCTCTGCCTGGCTGTTTTTTCCTTCAAATAGAGCTAATTAAATTTCACTCACTGTGGTTTTGCATTCATTGCTGCCAGGCGACACACAGGTCCAGTGAAGGTGGTGCAGCAGTAAATGAAACCAAATTCAACAGAAGAAAAGACTGTTATGGCAAAAGGTATATATGTGCTTGTTCGGACTCAGAAAAAAGGCAGAACTCAGACTCAGGCTTGACCAGGTAAATGTATTTTAATAACAGAACTGAGAAGTGGTCAGAACCAGTCACATCAGCTGATCTCAGGGCAGCGGGGAGTGCTGGGATGACTGGACTGCTAGAGCTACAACCCAAGGTTGTAGGAGAGGCGCAGCTGGCTAAAGAAAAGCAGAGGATGAGACTGAGTAACAGGGATTCTATGGTAATGGCAATACTGATAGTTATACCGAGGACCCGAGTAGCAGAATTTACTGGCTCTAGGCAGGTGAGCGTCATAGGCTAAGAACACAGTCCAGGGGGGAAGTGTAGGAGCTGGCATAGGCGATCACTGGTCCGACGTGCAGTACTACCGTCGTGGTGAGGCTCAGGCTCGTAGCAGACAGCAAGCAGGTAGTAAGATGGTGTGCGGAAGGCTGACAGTGGAGATCCAGAACCATGCAACCAGTCCCAGCAAGAGTTGGTCTCTTCTTCCTGAGGAGTGTCACCTGGAGAAACAGTTCACAGTCCAGGCACCAAGTTGTGCTGACACAAAAATGGCTGAAACCACCAAGCAGAGGGTACTCTGGTCCTTAACACAAGTCCACAGAAAACAGTTCAAACAGAAAGTGACCCTTCAAAAAAAACCATAAGAGCAATCAGTTCGTTACTACCTGAAATCAGGTCCCACAATCTAGAAAACAGGTCATACACAATCTTAGTCATGAGAGCAAAGACAAGTTACCAGCAGGAACACAAGAGATCATCTGACAACAAGGACACACCAACGCTCCCTTTAAGTACTAGTCTGGTAATTGAGAGCAGGTGTACCTCGCCGCCTAGAATGCATTCCCACCTGTGCAGGGGCGGAGCTACAGTGACAGCCCGTGCCAGCTGATGAGGTTCTGGGGGTGGACAGGGCCACGGACGTAACACTATGAGAACAAACTGGCACACTATATTGAATAAACAAAATCACATTATTTATGAATTCTGAATACTGAACAATCAGCAGTTCAACAAAAGATCTCATTTTGATATTGCATAGCTTTGGAATGTAGTTAGTGGTCGTAGTTTTTTTCCTGCATGACTCAGCATTGTGTAGAATTTTTAGATTTCTGTGCCAAAAATGTCTTTTCGGAGAGTAAAACCCATTGATCAGTGGTTTACACAGGAGCGCAGAAGAAGTGGTTATATGCTGGTGAGTTACCTGGGGTTTCTTTTGTTTTGTTTTGTTTAGAAGGCACATGTAGACTCTTAAGGTCTTTATACACCAGAGGTGAATTGCACATGTAAATTTCTTGCACATCATTAATAAATTTTGAATAATTTGAATTGATTCCACTGCTTCCATTTAACTTTTCTCACATTCTCTCTCTTGCACACATAGGTACACACACACACACACACACACACACACACACACACACACACACACACACACACACACACACACACATATACACACGAAACTACACCAACATCTACAAACCACGTATCTTGTCCATAGCTCAGCAATACAGGTCCTTCCTCCCAGTTCTCAAAACTAAAAAAAGAGTGTGAACATGGGGCCCAAACACCCCTCGCATCTGTCTGTTTGCGCCTTCTCACTCCCTGTCACAAACAGTGTATCAGAAGCAGCAGTGAAAAGCTCAGGAAGACTCTGTATGAGGTTTTTAATTAGTGCTGTCAGTCGATGAAAACATTTGACCATGATTAATTGCTTGATTGTCCATAGTTAACCCATGATCAATCACAAATGAATGACACTTTTTATCTGTTCCAAACAGTGGTGGAAAGTAACTAAGTACATTTACTCAACTACTGTACTTAAGTACAATCTGTACTTGAGTATATTCATTTTCTGTTACTTCATACTTTCACTTCACTACATTTTAGAGTCAAATATTGTACTTTTTACTCTACTTTATTTTATAACTTTAGTTGCTAGTTATTTTTCATAACCAGGTTAATACAAAAATATAATATAAGACCTCAGTGATCTATGGTGGAAAATTCACCAGCTATCCAGCAGTAATTCAAATTAAAAGCATATAAGCTCACTAAAACTAGCTCCCCTTTAGCAACATTAAATGTAATGTATACAATAATGCACCAGTAATTATAATACAATAATATGATATACAGGAATGTGAAATGTGCCGTTCTGCATAATGACTACTTTTACTGTTAGTACTTTATTTACTATTTACTTACTTTTGTACTTTTACTTAAGTAACATTTTGAATGCAGGACTTTTACTTGGAACAGAGTATTTTTACACTGTTGAATTGCTACTTTTAATTAAATAAAGGATCTGAGCACTTCTTCCGCCACTGGTTGTAAAAATAAGTGGCGTTAAAGGGAATATGCGTTAACGCTCTATTACCATGTTAACCTTGACAGCCCTAAATTTAATATTTAGTGTAGGTTTCTTTAATAATGTTTGTCTTTTGAAAGGTGGCCAACAGAAATTTCACTAAGTCTAAAGCTTGAATTGTGTAGTAAACTGAATTAAATGTAACTGTAGTTTGGTTATTCAGTGAAAAAAGGGAAAGATAAAATAATGCCTTTGTCGAGCTCCCTGAAAGAACACGGTCATCTGAACACAATAAGACCTCTCATGAGTATCCACAGACCTCCCTGACAGCGCAGCCCATCGCTCACAGGCTCATTAGCAGCAGAGCAATAGATAGCCACAGGTAATTGGAGCGGAATCGTCCTTCATTTAGAGAAGTCTCTCCCAGCCAGTCAGTATGGCCCATTGTTTCCATCTGTGTGTGTGTAGTTTTGTTTATTGAATGGTTGTCTTTTTTCTTACAAGGATGCAGAAGCTGTTTGTTTTGTTCAGAATGCACTGTCAGGAATGTCTGTTGATTCAAAAGGAGACTCCTGAATGAGTCATCTCTCTCTCTCTCTCGCCCTCTTTCTCTCTGTCATCTTTCTTTCAGCAAAACAGAGATGAGAGTATCATTCAGACACAAACAGAAAACAGAAGAAAGTGATTGAAGTGAGTGAAAGACAATGATGAGGAGAGGGCGAGGGAGTGCGAGAGAGGCAGTGATTACGCTGGCTGCTGCCCTGTTGGAGTCGGCTGTGACACTTGAAAGTGTTTGTGCTGCTGACTGAGGTTTGGCTGGAAGATCTCTCTAACCATGAAGGGCACAGGAAGTGTGTGTCTGTGTGTACGTGTGTGAACAAGCTTGCCTTTGCTCACACAAACATGAGTAGATTTGAGTAAATTAGCAGCAGGCACACATCTTTTTTTATCATATTATTGAGCTGCGCATGTTTTTGTAGCAGTGTGAGTGTATTTTGTGGGTGGTGAGATTTTGTGTGTACACTGTTATTGGTCATATACTGTACAGTATGTATAGTTTGAGTGCACTGGTGTGTTGATGATTATCTGTCGATGGTCACATCAGAGGAGCAGATGTTCTCTGTGTGTGGGTGTGTGAACAAACATGATCTTAGAAGGAACAGGCAGGTGATAATGTGCTGTAAAAGAAACCCAGACACAGCACAGAGTCTTATACTCGGTGACTGATCCAAGGCTAATCTACTTTTAAAATGAATAACATGTAATTATTTTGGACCGTGAAATGCAATTAACTATCTGAGACAAATTTGCTTAGAAAAAGAGGCACATGTACAGAGTTTATTATCACACCCTTGTCTTCGCATTTGGAATATTTTATTGGCAGGAAAATATCTTATTTTCAATCTGCTTTTGAGTGCAAGATTGCATAAACATCCAAATAAATGCAGTATGTATTATACTTTATGTAGACTGCCGTAAACTGCCGTGGTTCGTTGACTTTGCTATGCTACAGTGAAAAAATTAAATACGCATTAAACAGCTGAGCATTGCAACATGCTTTAAACCTTGTGCCCATCAACAGCTCAGCAACTTTGTTCCTTGCCAACTGTCAAAACATCAAACAGAGTGTAAATAACAGCCAAAAAACATTGGCCCAGTCTCTAACTCTGCCTCTTGCTCTCTGTGAGGTTTCAGCACATACGTACTCTTCTAATCATGTCTAGCAGTCCCAGTCTTAATGGTTTTATTTGGTTTTCAGATAGATATTTACCTCTTTCCTTTTCGTTCTGGTGCATCATGTGTTTAAGATTGCCATATTAAATATGGATTTTTTTTAACAACCTGGCTTCAACTGTGTTTGTGTGTCTGTGTGCATGTGCTATTTTTTGCAGGATTGAACACCTGGGCCTGAACATGGCCATGCAGCTGCTAGTGGGAGTCCCTTTAGAAATGGTCCATGGAGCCCTGAGGATCGGACTGGTCTACGTGTGTGGTGTGCTGGCAGGTGGGTGTGTGATCTCCTACACATAGACCGAACACACAGTGACAACCTCAGTCCTTCTCCACTCATTATATACATTTCCCTCCCTCTTATTTACACACTCTTCATCCCAGAGACCAAAACATACACACACACACTATAGGGTTTTGCCATCTGCTTGTGGTGTATGACGCATTTAACAGCAGCCTATCAGGTTGCTGCTAGTATGTTGGTGTCATGTTCAGGACAGATGGTCTTGTATTTCTGTCTTCATAGCAGACGTGGTGGGATGTAGGGGGCTGTCAGTGCCCCATCAAAGCCTCCGCATCCCCCTATGGTCATGTATAATAGCACAGAGGAAAGCAAGACATCTCCAGTGGAGCACAATCAGAAAAAAACATGCACACACTAATAATGAAATAGGAAGGGGGTGTGTGAGAGGCAGACAGAGGAGGGGAGATGAATTCATAAGTGTTAATAAGCCTGAGAGGGTTTGGAGAAGGGAACCCAGAGATGAGATAGGAAGTGGGTGAGATTTAAGTGAGCAACTGCAAATGAGAAACTACTCTCTTCCAACTTTCCTATCAACCTCAGGCAGCATTGCAAATTCAACCCTGTTCAGCTGAGACAGTAAGCCTGCACTTCTTTATTTGTGTGTGTGTGTGTGTGATCAGGAGCTCTGTTTCTCATGACTAAAACAGTACAGACTACAAAAGTTGTCCACCCTAGTGTTGTTTTTCATCTCCAAACCGAATCATTTTGATATTATTTTTAAATGTTTCCAGTTTCCGGCGGTGCCACTTTTAGCTATGCAATAACAGGAGTGGAACTATTGGTCGAGTTTTTGAGATGAGAGCCAGAGATGTTTTTGCAGATGGAAATGTGACGCCTTGCGGTGTGTGTGTTACTGAAAGCACAAGGGATTGTGGAATATGAAATGCAGCTAGTGCGATTTTGTTAAATATTCATGAAAATTATGTCTCTTTCTTTCTTTCTCTCCATCTCTGATTCTCCATCTGTTTGTGTGTGTGCAGCAATGGTCAGTGTCAAACACCCTGGGGATACCAGCTGGGGTGGCCTGTAGATGTAACCTCACAGTGAAACAGGGAGGAAGTGCACCATAAAGTGTACGCACACAGACCAACTCACACACACACGCGTCTGCTGTTTTAATTAGATATCGACCACCAGCGGAAGAGGGGGAGGCACATTCTGTTTGTGTTGGCTGTGATGTTTGGGTTTGTTGTGTCTGAATTTGACAGCAAAAGGACTCAAGCCAAAGTCACAATTCTCATAACATTCACCATTTACAGCAGCAACAAGTGGGTGGATGTAATAAGCTGATATTTGCATATCACTTTATATGTGGCATATGTGCATCAGTGTTTTTTAGGCTGCAGTTTAATATATTATCTTTTGGCATTTTCTGACACTATACATAGATAAAAAAAAAAAAAAGATTTATTCCCAATGGAGTTGACTGTTCAGATTTTATTGGTATCTTTTTTTTTCATAGTAAAGTGTATTGTTCAGCTGAAAAATATCCTGACCATGTACATATTTTTCTCACAAGTCATTAATAACCAATGCAATGCAGCTTCTGCAGTGTATGTAAATAAAAAAAATTAATTCATACATCTTTGTACTCTCAAAGTTATTTGGCTGTAGTGTGTGTCCTGGTATTTTGTGGGGACATAAATCTGGTTATACAGTTGCACTGTTGGGAGACAAGATGGAAGTCCCTGTAATGTAATTCATTAATGTTTTAGAGTGATGACTTGGTTTAAAGTTGGGATGAGGCAAGTAGTGGTTATGGTTAAGGTTGGAGTAAGTCATTGTAGTGTTCCCTGAAGTGATGGAAACATATTTACAGTTTGTATATAGGATATAACTCTTTCAGTATGCAGATGAAACCGAACTGTGAAAATTAATACACAGAGAGAAACTCTCTAGTTGACGTTACCCACTGATAACTATAGATTTCATAGATGTCCTATTTGACTTAACGCTATTTGAGAAGTGTGGTTTAATCCTTAAGCATTTTTAGAAAGTGGTACCGTGCCGCCCTTAAACAAATATTATTTAAACAACAATTTTGACTTTTATATTCAATGACACTGCCAGATTGTGTGAAAAAGAGAACACAATAAGAGATAGTGAGGGGCTCATCTGGCACATACAGGGGTCAAGGCAGAGTTCAGAGGTCAGTGACCCTTTAGGGCCAATACACACACTGACACTTTAATGACAACAACCGACTATTCTCTCGTGGACACAGGATGTAGACACAGTAAGGACAATAAAACAGGAGTCTATTTGAATAAAACAGGCTAAACAAAGAGCTTCAGACTGTTGGGGTGACTGCAACACAGATCAGGCAAAAAAAAAACTGTTCAGCAATAAACTTAACAACATCACAAGTCAAAGACTTGTCTGCTGGCATACGGGTGTTCACTCAAAGAGGTGACACCATTTTTAACACGCCTATAACATCCTACTTGTGACTTTGTAGATTAATTCAGCTCAACATGCAGCCACACTGCTGCTATTTTTTGTAATGAGCTTTGGTGTGAATTATTATTTCCCTTGTTGTGCCTGGTTCTTCCTCTGTAGTCTAGAAATGCACCGCCAAGATAAATGAAATGCCACTCCTGACTCTTAACAGCTACATATCCTCTGGGGCCTGCTGAGCGACTATCAGAGATTGTGCCCTTGTCTGTGTCTGTGTGTGTTTGCGTGCGCATGCATTCACAATGCTAAAACAATGTTATTGAACCTATATAATTATGGGGATGGAGGTCACCCTGCACAGACTGACACACTAAGTGCAGGAACTAGAGAGGAGGAGGTTTCCTAAATCAGGTGTTTCAGTGTCTGCATGTCTGTGTGTGTGTGTCTTTGGAGAGGGAGAAAAAATTGTGGAGTGCTTTAAAATGGTGTGATCTAGCAAGAGGAAGCCTTTGTGGATAATACTGCTCAGGGTCTTAGTTAAGCCTTTTTGAACCTACTGACCTGTAACAGAATGTAAACTCCTTACCATGTGGTTTGCTTGTGTTTCTACTACCTTATACCCTCTTTGGAGGCAGGTTCCCAGAGCTAAATTTTGGCACCCCTCAGGAGGTAGTATGAAACCAAGTTCCAGGAACATGAGGGTGGAGAAGGTGGGTGCTTGCAGGACTGTCAGCATCATCATGTCTCAAGTATTAGCATTACAAGCACAGCGTGTAAACACACTCACTGGCATAGAAGTAAAACAGTGACTTCAATGAGTTGGCTGTGCAGAAGACATGGCCAGGATGTGTCATTTCTGCAAGTTTGTATGAGCTGTTTGATAAACTGCTCATACAGTCATCAATTCTGTATTAAGAAATATAAATCAAGTTACCACCAGTTTTTCCATTATTCTCATTATTGATGTAATATGCAAAATGTTTTTTTATTTGACAGTCAATTCAGAAACAGAAGAAATGTGTTGCATGAATCAGTTCAGCCCCCGCTGCTTGTGTGCCTCTTAGAGAATGGAAAACAGTATATGTATATGCCTATCTGAGGCTGTGTGCTTGTATGTGTGATCACCCGGCTGCTTAGATCACTCTACAGTGTTTAATGTCTTGGTGAGTCAGATGCTGTTATTACACCACCTCGCTGTGTTGTTATTATAGTTCGCAAGGCTGAGGAAGCCAGATACTAGGAAAAAGACGAATTTGGTGCTAAATGTCAGCTAGCCTTTGAAAAGTACTTTCATTAATCACATACTCTGTTGAAAATATAGGGTTATAAAACAGAGATGGACTGATTTGAGACTCACTTAGGGTATCACGAGATGGCTCAGGTAAATGCTGTCTGTAGACTGAATTTATGTAATTCTATCAATGGTGTGATCATACTATTATCCAAATCTGTTTATACAGCGTGACTCTTATGTACACTCACTCATTATTAGGCACACCTGTACAATTGTATGCACTTCAATGCAACACTTCTGCCTTAACATCTGTGTTTATGAAGCTCAAAATGTTTCTGTTTTTAGTGAATAGTCATAAATGTATTAATTCAATTATTGAGGTCATATGTTATAGTTAGAGATGTTCCTAATATTCTGACCCTCTCATGAATATAATGTAGTTCAGGGAAGGTGGATGAACATAAGGGAAAGTAGAAGACCAATCATCAGCCGCTCTATGCAGTGTGTCTCATTTACTTATCATTAATAATGTACACAGATCAGTGAAGGGAAGGAAAAGAAATACTGAGAAGTGGAGAGCAGATAGAATGTACAGTATGTACGGCAGAGACTGAGTGAGTGAAAGGCAGCAAGCACAAGAAGAAGAGTTTGCGTTTGGGTAATTTAATAGCCCTAATTATAATTTTTTATTCTCCTTTTTTCTTTTATTCTCTCTCTAGTACAAAGACCACAGTGAGAACACATTTCCTCTGGTGACACTGTCACTGAATGTTGCCACACGTAAAGTTTTCAGTGCTTGATTGGATCTTTTGCGCATGCAATGAATAGGTACCAAGGTGCTAAAGAGAGCCAGTCCCTGTTAGTGACAGCCGTGTTTGTATCAATTCATTTGTTTTACATAAAATCACAGTGTGTGCTGGTACACTATGAGCAATCCTTTATTACAGTAATGAAGGGTTATTGATAAAACACCCACACTGTAGTGAGTAGCAAAGCTGCCTTTATACCAATGGAAAATCCGTTTTTAGTGGAGAAGTGGGCACAACTTGTACCAAAACAGCTTAATTTAATCAGTCCATGTCTTCCAGTATGACCCTGTGATTAAAAAAAATAATAATTTCCTTCTGAATAATGAAAAGCTTTCATATAGTCTTATATAATTTTCATCATCAGACGAACTTTGCCCAGTTGGTGGGGATGATAGATGCTCCGATTTCCAGTTTTTCTGAGCACTTTAAAGTGACTGCAATCAATATTTTTATATTGACAATAGATAAGATGAAATATGATAATGGCACACATTTTCAAATACTTTCCCCTGGAAGACATTCACTGTGATGCACTCATTAGTTAAATGAATAGTGACAGAAATAATTATGTAAAGGATGAAAAGAGAGAGCTGTAGAGAGACGTTCAAGCCCTGGCTACTTTATTATCTTCAAACAGCTGGCCAGTCACGGTGTGACGTCGATGTGAATGTCAGACAGTTATCCTTCATGGGTGTCCTATTGCTTTTTTTAGTTGCAGATGAGACCATAATGTACTCATTTGTTTATAGTTTTACTAAAATCAGGTTCACTGACCTGTGACTTTCCTCAGGGTCTCTGGCAGTGTCTGTCACCGATATGACGGCTCCAGTGGTTGGGTCGTCTGGGGGAGTGTACGCCCTGGTCTCAGCACATTTGGCTAATGTTGTAATGGTAAGTTCACTTGTGTGTCTGTGTGTTCTTGTACTTGCTATATAGTGAGGATTAAAAGAGTATTTTTTTTTTGCTACAGAGTGAGGACGTTTTGGTTGGTCCTCACTTTCTGAAACACCTTTTTAAGGGTTAAGACCTGGTTTTAGGGATCAGGCTATGTCAATGAGTGTCCTTACAAAGATAGAAGTACAAGAATGTGTATATGTCTGTGTGTAAATGATTATCACATCACTCAGTTCTCCTTTGTTGCCACATTGTTATCAAAGCAGCTTGCTGTGAGGCCCACCAGGTGCTTCTCTATCTACAGATGCCATACATTCCTCACCATCACTATCACCTTTTCCCTCCAAAGATCAGAAAAGTGTGTGAACATGTGCACATGTTTCTGTGACAGTATGTGAAGAAATCATATTATCTAACCCAGCAGAAACAGATTCTGTCAGTGTCTCTGGGGCTTTCACAGTTGATATGAACTGAGAGAGAGACAAAGGGCAAGATCTCGTGTCATGTCAGCGCGTGTGATTGTGTCTGAGGAGGACTTGACCCTCTAGCATGGTTTGTTCTGTGTTTATCATCAGAACTTCAAAATGTCCTCATGAGCTCTCCACCTTCTTTTTCTCTCTCTTTTTATAGAATTGGTCGGGGATGAAGTGTCAATTTAAGTTATTCCGGATGGCCATGGCTCTGGTGTGCAGTAAGTCTGGATAAATAAACCAAACTCCCCTTTTCAAGTCTAAAGGATGTTCTATATTTGTCATACATTTTCAGTATTTTCAGTGATGGTTTTTTTTGCACTATTGAATTCTTGCAGCAGAATAGTGTATTCACTTATAATAAACTACAGTGGCCATGTTGATCATAATGAAGATACCGGGGCAACACTGTGGCTCATTTATATATCATTTATATGTTTATAATAGCTGGAGGTCAGTGGCACAGAGTAGGCTAAATCAAGCTTTGACTACTGAATCTTTCATGGGATTTATTAAAAATAAGCAAAATATAACATTTTCTGTGTCAAACATTCTGTTTAACAGAAGAGTTTTAATGCTTGTGGTATTCCATCAGCAAAATCTAATCTCACAGCAAAGGTTCCTTTTTAGCCATTGTAGCTTTAGTATTTGGAGAATTTCTAATTGTGAAAACCCACTGAGGGATGCAGGACAAAGCTATTCAGTCTTCTGGCAAATCACTTTTCAAAGTGCTGTGGGATTCCAGGCAACGCAAGACACAAAAACAGGGAGGGGGTCGAAAATTGAAATTTTATTTTTATGTAAACTTTATACTTCAGTGTAATGGGCTATTGATAGGAAGGGTCCAAATGTATAGTGGGAACCTACCTGGTTTAATTTTATTATATATCATTAAGGAAAACTCTGGCTAGTGGGTCAATTTGCTTTTGAATCACTATTTACACAGGTTTTCTTGTGTAACCACAAGATGTGAGGTGACTGTGGTTCAGTGGGTAGAGCAGTTGTCTCCCAACCGGAGGGTCGGAGATTCAAATCTCGGTGCCTGCAGTCCACATGTCGAAGTGTCCTTGGGCAAGACACTGAACCCCCAAGTTTCCCCCGATGATTAGAGCCATAGGTGTGAGTTGGCGCTGCAGATAATGAAGTTAGTTCAGGGCAAGAAGTCTGGAAGCATGGTGTTTGCTCTAGTCTTTGAAAACTAAATAAAAGTAATTCTTCTGCCTTAGAAGGGACAATTACATTACATTTGTATATGTCAGGTAGTTGTGAGGAAAATATATACATTATACTCACTTGCTAAGATTTTTTTTCTTTCTTCTCTCTTTTCACAGTGAGTGTGGAGTTTGGTCGGGCGGTGTGGTTGCGGTTCTACCCTCCGGCCTTTCCTCCATGCCCCAATCCCAGTTTTGTAGCTCACTTGGGAGGAGTGGTCGTTGGTCTAACACTGGGTGTGGTGGTCCTGCAGAACTATGAACAGCGACTTCAGGAGCAGTCCCTGTTTTGGATCTTCTTCTGTGTATACACCTTGTTTGTTCTTTGTGCTGTCTTTTGGAACATTTTCGCCTACAGCTTGCTTGACGTGCGACTGCCCCCACCACCGTGACTTGCTAATTAGGGGCAGACAAGACTCTGTACCCCCTGTATTTCTCCATTGGTAGTTGCCTGACTGCCTGGCTGGATGAGTCACCTCATCCCTCATATTCTGAGCTTCATCGTGGGGTGATCAGAGTGGTGTAACAGCCACCTTCCTTCTACATCCAGTGCTCTTATGTAGGGATGCCTGACCTGCAGAACTCCTCCCTGTCATTCCCGTCATACATTTTTCAACCCACCTGCTACCTTACTGGGTCAAGCCTTACCATTCGCGCTTACCTTACAAGCTAACCATACCTGCTACTTGTCTTTATCTCTGTTGGATGTTTGTCTCAAGCAAGCCAGTAGGACTTTTGTTGACAACACTGTGCTGACAAATGAGAAGCCTCAGATCTAACACAACAGGAACAAGCTAGAACAGCCTCCTTCACATTGTTTAACCTTCTCTGCCTCTTCCTCCTCAATCCAACCGTGCCTAGTCATGGAGACTTGATGGAGCCTAATGAAAGTATTTCTGCATAGTTGCCTCTTGTGTAGGGTGACAGCAAATAGTATAACCCTGCAGTATAAAACTTTTTTTCAGACAAAAAAGTTCACAAAATGGCTGGAAACAGTCTGTGCCCTCATCATCAGTGAACGAAGAATAAGGTCATGTGAGAATTTAAGCTCATTTGGTGTTTTGTCACATTACAAGCAGCTCATGAGCATCAGAGGTACAGATAAAGCAGACAGCAGGAGAGCTAAACCTTTCACAATATAGAGATGTCATGGAGTTAAGCTGCAGCAACCTTCAAAAGTTCATTTGAATTTGCCTTTGAAAGAAAGTGTGGGTTACTTTTTAGTGTTGCCTTCCGCATTCTGCACTTTTCCAGAGAAAGAATTCATTTGTGTTCAGAACTATTTGAACCTCAAACTTGTGTCTTTGATTGTTTCTGTGTGTGTAAGCAGTGCAACAATTGCAGCATTGCCTGTACAGCAACAGAGGTGCCATTCAGACTTTAGGTTTTCAAAAATAATGCCAAAATATTGCTACAAGCACTAGGGGAAGAGCTCACCCTCCTGACAAGTATTTCTTTTGTATTGAAAAAAACAAATATAATTTTTTCTGTAAAGAGTTGGTTGGATGTAACAGAACATTTTCATGATCTTCAACCCAGAAGTGCACTCAAACTCTTGTCGTTTTGTTGTCTTCTTTGAGCATTCAGTGATTATTTGATAGCTTAAAACTGCAAAGAAGCAACAGAAGTTCATTTGTTGACTGGTGAGGCGGTGAATTAAGGAAACATTGGCCAGTGGGGACAGCTGGACCATTCTGAATAAATTCTGACTTTTTCTCATTACCAAATGTAGAGGAGCACACATGCCTGACCTCCACGACATTTGTGCTGGGGCCATTTCACTCTCAAGTTCAGAAGGCAGCAGGAGAAAGAAGTAAATCTGTGCTCTCTCAGTAGTTCCTGTCGCACCTGATTGAACTGGGGTAGAAAGCAAACCCAGCCCTAAACTATAAGTCCTAAACAGTACTGTATTTTAACTTCATGTTACACTGGTAACACAAAAATGACAATGTATTTAATTACAGTCTGTGAATTAAATACAGATGGATATTTTAACACGCATTTGCTGTTGATATTTCTTTTTTACTTGGTGATATTGGTTTGCTGCGTAAATTGTTTGGTCGGTTTTCATTGTGATATGTTAGCTATATACATCCTCTATTTATTATTTTAAAATTGGTTAAAAAGATGGCCTGGGATTGTATATAATAAGGGCTATGACACAAAACTGAGTGAAGGAGTAAATCACTGATAATATTTTAACATTGTGCAGATTTTATAGATTTTCAGAAACAAAATCTGATTTCTTTGGACCTTATCCATCCATCAGTCTATCCATTTTCATTTGCTTATCCATGGTAAGGTCACAGGGAATGGGGTTTAACAGGGCACTCCAGACATCTTTCTTCCCAGGCCCTCTCATTCTCCAGGGGAGAAGACCAACACAGCATCACTCAGCTGTGGCGCTCATGAGTATCTAGACACCTGCCCGGCGCTTCTCACCCTAGACAACCCTGGGAAAGTCCAACCTCTCTCCAGGAGTTTGATTCCAGAGCCAGTACTGTGTATGAAATTGAGCATAGTTATAACTACTTACTATCTCTGTATCTCCTGCAACAGCTCCAGATCCTTCTCCACCGGAGTGGTAACATTCCACATGCCTAGAGCCAACCTGTAGTACCAGGGACCTGCAAGCCCAGGTCCCTGACCTTACCTGCTGCCTGGCTTAGGCAAAGCAAGGCAAGGCAAGTTTATTTACAATATGACCTCCTCACCATCTACAAAAAACAACAGTTTGCATTTAACAACAAAGCTCTAGAAGAAATGGTGCCGCATCTTAAAATGTCTATCTGATAATTATATATTCTACCTACAGGCTCTTTAAAAAGTGTTTTTAGCAGACTGTTTAGACACTGGTATTTGAATGTACCACTGCTTCTGATGTTAAAGCACTCAGAGGTTTGTCTTGTGAGGAGTTCAGTAAAAGGGTACAAAACATCATGAGTACAGAAAGAATCCACACTCTGCCACTGCTATACTAAGACTACCAGGTATCTACTCATGTAGGTTGCTACATGTACTGTCATGTAATTGTTGTTTTTAAGTAATATTTAATGTTTTATCTAATTTGCATTGTTTTATCCATCTGTATGCATTGTGTTAAGCACTTTGAATTGCTGTTGCATATGAAAATATATGCATATTGTCTCTGCTTGGCTCTGTGTTTCTAATACTTTGTCTGATATTTTCAATTTTGTGATGAAGCAATTGTGCAAACACATTACATTATTTTTTAGCCGTCAAGAACTCAAGGGATGGCTGCAATGGACGATGTGTTAACCTATGAACAGTGGCAAATAAAGAATGAGTGTTACTAATATTTCCATTTATAACATTAAAGAGATGAGCCTGCCTATGCAGAGCTAGGCAGGCTCATAAAGACAGTTTCTCTTTGTAGATGTCACAGAATATGTGAAGTTCATTTTTTCTCCATCTTCCTCCTGCTTTTCTGCATTCTCTCTTCTGATATGCTAATGTTTCACCATTTCTCCATGGGGATTTCTGATTGCCAGAAATAATCTTAGTCTTAACAGGTGCTATTGTATCTATCATTCCGAGTGTTTTGGAGTTAAAATGATCAAGACATTCAGCTACTCCTCCTCCTTTTATCATTGATGAATTGGATAGGGCTTACATTGCTCCCAACCCCAATTCCTATTCCTGGTGGTGTTCCAAAAGGAGGAAGGCCATTTATTCAGGCTTTGCCTGACCAGGCCCCATCCATCAGAAGAACGCAAGCCCCCCAAGAGCTCTGGGTACCGGAGGAGATCCTGATTTTCCTAAACTGGGTGAAATGACAGCTCTGAAAAATCTGATTCATTTTTGCCCTTCCTCATGTCATTGTTTCCATCAGTGCTTTAATGAATCTCCTAAGTTTACAGGTTACACTGTCTTTCACAAAGGTTTGCTGTTTAGCAGATAGAAGCTAGGAAAAAGAAATGTAAGTGTGATAAGTTTTTGTCATCTTTCTTGTGAGTGTATATGAACACAATTGCATATTTCTGTGTATGTGAATGAAGGTTTTCAAACATTTAAACCCAATTATCTTGCCAAAAAAACCTCACCTCATCTAAAATCACATGCAAATAACAGGTTTACTCTTTATCCAGGGACAGACAAACTGCGCAGTATGAAGAAAAATGTTCAAACTAAGCAGGTCTCCAGATTAATGTCAAATTCCAAACAGCTCAGGGTGCTAGTGCTGAGATGTGGGGTTAGGAGCTTTTATGAGAATAAAAGCACATGTCAAAGTGATCAATGAAATGTGTGAGCATACAAGAATAAGCCATAATTCTTTCAGAGATGAAACCCCCTTAAGCTGTCACTGAACATCTTCTCTGTCAAGAGAGTGCAACCATATGGAGAGCAGAGGTTTTGAGGGCATGTATTGAAAAATTAATTAGGCAACCAAGGAAATCCAACTTACTTGTTACAATTTGGTCAGGTTTCAATGTGCATTTGACATATTTTTTACTCTGTGCTAGCCAGTCAAACCCTTTCAGACCAAATGTGTAAAACCTTTTCATTGTGGTCCTCATTTTGTGCATGGACATACTGTCATGATGATAAAGAAATTGTTTTCTCAACCTGTTACTTCAAATTTGGATGCACCGTCATATTTCCCAATACTGTAGCAATACGTTTATAACTGGAACTG